ATATATATATATATATATATATATATATATATATATATATATATATATATATATATATATATATATATTGTGTTTTTTATTAATATTGTTAATTTATTTGGTACCTACTATAATTACCACGATTATTACTCCGTTTTCATAAGGCCCACCTAATGACTACAACGATTAGGTAAATTACGATATTGCAAAGTTTTAATGAAATAAATAAAAAATGTGTATGAATATTTTAACTAATTGTACTAAGAATTTTTCTTTCATTCTTAACCCTCTCAAAAATTAATAAGCACGCCCCCGATTTGCTGTCAACTGGGCTCACTTCTACTCTCAATCATTATTGGTTCTAGTATAGTCTTCTGAAACAACGGCTTTCCTTACGGCTTATGCAGAACTTGGATTTTTTCAAAAGGGATTTAACATTGGCCGTTTCCAAGAGTAATAGTTTCATCTACGAATGACACCATCAATGAAATTAACAATTTGATTAATACCTATACTGATACCCTACCATGGTGATGATCTTCTCAATTGAAAACGTCGACATCCCGGGTTATATATCTGTATTATCCGGTATGGCATCACCTGGAAAGGATGCAATATGAGGTCATTTATTATTGCTTATTGAATGCCATATGGCCTAGCGGTCGAACAGCAGATCACATCTTCGCCATAGCAACGTAAGTCTAGCTTAGAATGGATTGAAAAGCGTGAGAAGACACTGAAGCCGGCAACCATCTTGATTTCGGGCTGGTTGGAGCCTGGCTCCCTTACCCTTTCGACTGGCGTTTGTCAGAGGGACATGAAAAGTTCTCAGACATCAGTACCGCCTTTCACGGTGTACCCCTACTTGGCTGGGGTGAGTGAATGTAAAATTGTTCATCTGTTAACGGGTGACATGAGAGCCTCATTGGAGTGTTGAGGCCTTCTATATCGGGAGGGGTCGTCTACAGCATAATCTATAGCTTCTCTAACTGACGGATTATCGTGAGTTTCCGCGTATTCCTAGGCTGAATAGATTGCTGAATGGAAGGTAGCTGCAAATCTTTGCGGATGGCTTCGTTCTGTACGAACCACGAAGCACTCACAATCATCCGTATTGACTTATTTTGTAGCCGCTTGTCCCCAGACGCCTGAAGCATACATGATGACAGGCTTGAACATCGTGTTATAGATGCTAACTTTCTTCTTTAAACTCATTTTGGATTTTCTATTGGTCAGAGGGTACAAGCTTCTGATCCAACCCTCTATCCTTGTTTTGACGTATTCAATGGTAAGCCTATAGTCTATTAGAAGGCCGAGTTACTTTACCCGCGCTTGCCAGTTGATCTCCCTTCCAGAGACCCTCACTTTCCTACCCGGAGAAGATATCGTTCTTCCCATGGTTATCGCTTGAGTTTTTTCTGGGTTCACTCGGATCTTCCATTCAAGGTACCAGCGCTCGAGGTCGTCCAATTCACGTTGCTTGTAGATGATCTCGAGCTTCTGACCCATGGAGGATGAGAGGAGAGCCGTTTCATCAGCGTAGAGAGACACCTTCTCACGCTCGGACCACGGGAGGTCGCTGGTGTAGAGCGAGTATAACGTGGGTGAGAGCACAGCTCCCTATGACACTACAGCGAGGATCTCTCTGTTGTCAGATTCTAACTCGAAATGTTCTGTCTTTCAGGAAAGACCCAATCCACCGGATCAGGCACCGAGGCAGATCGAACGCCACCAGTTTGTATAGACGTCCTTCGTCCCATACACGGTCGAAGGCCTTCGAAATATCTAAGAAGACAACGTAAACTTCATGGTTGCTGTTTAGCTCTTGAATGGTGTTTTCGACCAGTCTCAGAGCCTGTAGCTCTCCTGGAGCCGAATTGTTCGTCAGGAAAAACATTTCGGTTCTCAATTTCTTCGTTGAGCTTTTGCAGAACGACTCTTTCAGCCAGCTTAGCCGCCTACTAAAGCAGACTGATCGGGCGATAGTTCTGTGGAAACAGCGGGTTCTGACCTTGTTTCGAAAGCATGACGACGATCGATTGTTTCCACCTTCTGAGGAAGTATCTGAGGGCCAACGAGCTGTTGATGAACTGCAATAGATTTTCGACGCTGTTGTTTGGGAGCCTCTTCAACAACCTATTGGTTATTGAATCGACTCCGGAGCTTTCTTGGCCTTTGCGGCCCTGATATATCCCTTCAGATCTTCGACAGAAGCTGGGCGGATGTTGTCGTCGTCATCCTCCTTGAGGATGCGGTGATCTCGATGTTCCAACAGACTATCGCGATCGATATCATCATTGTCGTCGACAATAAGCTGGAAGTAACGTTCCATCGAGTCGGCAAAGACACTGACGTATTTATTTACAAACTCAAGGATTTATTAAGTATTATAAAAAATAAAAATGTGTTCTTCTAGAATATATTGGACAATTTAGGTCGTAGGTTTCAAAAACTTAAATGTTGAATGTTTCCGAGTGCTCAGTTATTTGAAAAATTCTATAAATCTATGAATTTATTAAAACAAGCTTTCAACAACGTTTAGTCCAAAGTGTTTATAACACATGGGCTGAAAAGTCCCAGGTCTAAGAAAGAAAACACCGGTGAGCATTTTTTTGAGGTCTGCGAACGGCCAGTAGTCGCTGGGAGCCAAATTTGGCGAATACGGTATGTGTAGTAGCAATTCGAAGCCCAGTTCATGTAGTTTTGCCATTGTTTTGATTGAATTTTTTTCTTTGTTTTACGCGGTCGTTTGTTTGCAATTTCGGCCTTCAAACGTTCCAATATCGCTATATAATATTCACTGTTGATGGACGAGGTTCACCAGTTGCTCTCAACTCAGATGACGATGGTTTTGATTCCGGGGTGAAGTGATGGATCCATATTTCATCCATTGTCACATACCGACGCAAAAATTTCGGTTTTTTATATTCAAACATGGCAAAACACTGCTCAGAATCATCAAGACGTTTTAGTTTTTGGTCAACAGTGAGCTAGCGCGGCACCCACTTTGAACAGAGCTTTCTCATAGACAAATGCTCATGCAATATGAAACCAACACGTTCTTTTGATATTTATACAATGTCAGTTAACTCATGCAACTTCAGTTTTTTGCTAATTCAAAACGATTTGTTGTTTTTTTTACACGCTTTATATTAGCTTCACCTGTATGTATGTATGTTTGTTTGTAACTCTCAAGCTCGTGATCTGTATTGATATTGACAGAATTATCGGCATTATTGCTTGATCTATTCGCGGGCAGATGGTGCTGTATGTAACATTATTGTTATTTCTTGATTTATTCGTGGGCAGATGGCGCTGTACGTAAGTATCAATTATTGTTTAATATATTTGCGGGCAGATGGCGCTGTACGTAATTATATGTAACCTCCTTGATAGGTTGTTCAAAAGAAAATAACATAATTCAAGAATTATAAGAACGGAAAATATTAGTATTATTGTTCGTATTTTTCGTATTTTTCGTTCGTTATTATTTTAGCTTATTTAAAAAAAAATATTTCTAACTTTTTAGTTCGATGTTCTTCAAAAGCGTGCTTTTTTGTTTTTTTAAAGTATATTTATTTGTGTTCTGGTGTTACTGCCTCATTTGGACGTCCACTGCGTTCTGCGTCATCAGTCTTTCTACAACTACGTTTGAAGACAACATACCAACGTTTAGTTGTTGTTTCTTATAATACTTATAATATATAGTCCTTATAATACTTTTCAAGCCATCGCTCCGTTTGAACGGTATTTTTCCCATCAAGAAGCAGTGTGAAATTAAAACACGAAATTGTTTTTGATCCATTGTTTTGAAAATAACAAAAAGAGTGTTACTCCTAGCACAATAACTCACAAACTCATGAGTAGAATATCATAAAATTTCAACAGTTTTCTTTTAAAGGCAGAAAGTACTATCAGCACCGTTATTAAAGTCTGTGACCTTAGTTTCACATAGTTTTTATGAGTAAAATCAAAATCACTACAATTTGGACTCCTTAGATCAGAGTATTCACATGTAATTCAAGACTTTCAAATCCCTTCAACTTCTACAAAGGATCTGTAAGGCGATTGACCAAACAATACGCGTTTCTTGGTGTTGCGTAAGAACCAAAATATTGGATTTGCATAAAACATGATGAGTATCATATAAATTGCATTATATGTCAAGGTTTTCCACTCGCAAATATCTGTTGAAACTGATAGTTGATAGTCAATGAACCAGCACATAAAAATAGACATGATCCAGATGCACAACTAGTTTATCTGAAGAAATTGAACCGATATTCTGAAATTGAATATTATTTTAAGGATTTT